CCATTGTGTATTTAACTCGAATTTTGCTACAGTAGGCTCTGTTCTTAACTATGGGTCATCCTTAAATTGGGTGTTCTTAACCCGGGGACTACCTGTACATTATATTAATTTCTTTACGCTTTGAGCTTCTGTGTGATATTGGCACTTTGGGTGGTTGACCGAACCTCTGTATCAGTGTCAGAATGCATGGGTGCCAAGTCAGGAGGTGTGGGGCTTCACACTTGGAGCAAATAATTACAGAATGATGACTGTAGAGGACTGTTCTTTTCTCTGGAATTTGATTTGTAAAAAGAGCTACAAAGCTCTTATATAAGACTGACATACTATAGAAGTTATATAGTAATCCACTTCCTTTATTTATTTACTGCATTGCATTATAAAGAGCATTTTATAATATAACTGCATTTTATGATAACAGCATGAACCCAGAACAATATGGAATCAGTGGCATTGATGCCAGTCTTTGCAGGAATCCTTAGTAGCTTACAGTGATGCTGGCAGCTTTGAAATAAACACCAATGTTAATGCATCAAATTATAGAGCATGAAAACTGGGTCATCATCCAATGGAACTGGATATCCGGCCTCTAAGCCCAACACTTCCATCATTCATAGAACTGAAACACCCACTTCAGGATTTACAATGGTTTAATCTAGGGAAGATGAGATAAAATTACTGATACAGCTAATATCAAGTCAGATTCATCTTTGGTGGATGTCAAATGAAGTGGAACTAAGTGTCAGTCAAAAGAATGTAAGACAACTCTTGAAGAATCATGCCTCATGCTGGTGAGATGTGAGAGACAGGCTTTGACACTGAAGCAGCTGATAAGACTGCTCTTATAAACCACTTCCAGTCTGGTGAAATAAAACAGCTTAGTATCTTAAGAATAGTGATCTTGATCATCAGGGTGATCTCCTGGGACCAAAGGTTGCTTTGAAATACAGTGTGGCTAATAACTAAACAAATGAGACAAATAATAGTGATGATGTTATCAATCATAATCTAGTAGATTGGTATAAAAAAGGAGAATGGATTGAGAATGAGAACAAGGCTGATCCCTATCAGCACATGCCAGTTAAAATGTAGGATGTACCAAACAAAAGATCAGTTTAAACAGTGACTCTTGACAGTCATATTGATGTTCCTTAAAAATTAAAGATGGCTCTTGAGAACAGTTAGATCAACACAACGGATGTTTATTGGGAGACTTTTGAAGCAATGGACTTTTCTTTGATTTTTCCATCAGAAGCAGAACTCACAAAATCTCAGCTCAGTGTTGAAAGCTTAAGTGGTTTACTGCCTCCCTATCCTACAATGCAGAGTAGTCTAGCAACTCAATCCTGTTGAGGCACCACCCCCTTTTCCTTGTCCTTTTCCAGCTTTACCTTTTCCTTTTGCAGGGATATAACACCTGTCTTCTTATGTTATAAGGCTTCGGCTTTTTCTGTTTGTGTCTCAGGGTTCCTGATTGTACAATATTTGGATAACTTATCTAGAATTCACAGGGATGGCCTCCCTTATTAGGCATCCTTAGCCTAATTCCATAGTTGTGGGTGCAGTATACAGTGGATAGTGTTAGAAGTGTGCTCTGCTCTGGATGACTTGGCAGGCAGGAAATTAGATGGAATGAGAGATAATTAACATTCTATCAGTACTTTATCCCCATAAGTTGCCACCTATAAGGCTTGTATGGGCCATTATCAATTATTTCTCTGGGAGAAGGTAGTATCTACACTTAGGCATACAGATGGTGTGGAGAGTGAGGCAGTGAAGGTTTTCTCTGAGGAAGTATTGACGCTGAAAGTTGCCAGCCAGAAATGGTCGACACTTCAGCGGTTCGAGCCCAGCACTGCGCAGCAGAGTGAGCTCCTGCTTCCTCCCCAGCTCCTGCCAACCCAGCAGCTCGAAAACTTACATGAGTAGGTAAATGGGTACTCTCACCCCAGTGGGAGGAAAAATGCTGGCGGCACCTTGCAAAGGAGACAGGAGCAGTTGCCGGTAATGCGGAAGCTGCGCACGCCCGAAAAAGACGCGAAGTAACGGAAACCCCGCCTCCTGCGCTCGCCAGCTGGGCTCTGCTCTAGGAAGGAGGCACTGGCAAACCACTTCCGAAACACCTTGCCTTGAAAACTGCAGGGACTCGTCCAGGCAGTCACCGCAGAATCAGTCACGATTGAGTGCGGATAAAAAAAAAACTATGGCAGTGGTGTTGTTTTGTGCTTCTTTGCATTCATTCATTTCTCTGGCTTAAGACAACAGGCTTGACATCATGCTGTCTTATCTCCTTCCTATGCAGACCCTGGAATTCCAGGGTCTGCATAGGAAGGAGATAAGGAAACACCTTGCCTTGAAAACTGCAGGGACTCGTCCAGGCAGTCACCGCAGAATCAGTCACGATTGAGTGCGGATAAAAAAAAAACTATGGCAGTGGTGTTGTTTTGTGCTTCTTTGCATTCATTCATTTCTCTGGCTTAAGACAACAGGCTTGACATCATGCTGAATTTGACAGAGAAGTTTCCTCTCTCATAAAACCTAGGATGAGATGGACAGGGATCACAAACTCTGTGATACACTTCTTCTACCCCTTGGCCTTTCCACTCTTCCCTAAATGTTTACAAATGCATGGTGGTTGTGGTTGTCTGCTTGTGCACTCAAAGAATTC